AGCCCGACCCCGCCGAGCCGAGCCGAGCCGAGCCGAGCCGGCGGGCTCTCGGCCAGGCTCCCGCCTAGCAGGGGCTCCCCCCCCGCCCTGGAGGGGTGCGGGGAAAGGTCCTGCCCCTGACCTGAGCTTACTAATGGCGGGCTTCTCTACCAGCGGATCGCTGAAGTAACAAGAAGAGCCCAACGGTCCCCCCGCCGTGCGGGGCGGGTGTAACTGTCCCCCCGCAAGGATAAGGGTCCAACAGATCCAACCATCCACCGGGCTGCTCTCCCTCCTGCCCCGCCAAGAAGTTCATATGTCCGCCTGAGAGGAGCAGCCGCCACCAAGCAAGCATGTCACCTCCCCCGGGGACCTCCCGAGGGTTTGAGGTCCAGCCTGCGGTGACACGGGCGAAGAAACTCGCTCCCCCGTGGTCCCGCAGATTGCACGGGGGACTGCCGAGAACGCCCACTCCCCGCCGGCCTCTCCCTGCCCCTCTCCGGCTTTTAACTCCGAATTACGTCCTGCCGCATTTTCACTCCGAATGTTCGCAAAAGAGAAGGCGTCCAACTTAAAAGCGTGCCTGTGCTTACGACTACCTCTTCTTCACAGCCATCACATTTATATTGCTTGAGACATCTAAAATGGCAGAGTAACACAAGTCACCATAGTCACTTACAGGAGAAAAACGAACAAAACTTCTTACACCCCCCACCCCCACCCCCCTTTTTTTTGGACCCATGTTATTTGTTCAGCACAGCCCCTGACTGGACAAAGAGAATAAAAGATGCAGCCAAGAAGGGACAGGTAACGTAAGATAGTCTTCTTACTGGGTTAACAATTTGCCTTTTTTTTTTTTTCACTCTCCAAAAGACAAATTTTGAAGCTGCTCCCAAAATGAACAGGTCCTTGGCAGAACTGATAGTCGAGGTGAAGGATTCTGCTTTTTCATGCATGTCAAAGGACAACGCAGGATTTTTCTGAGTCCTTTTAAATGATATATCACAAGAGTCAGCAATCACCACTGCTAATTGCATTTGAGGCAGTGCTTGTGTTTTTATCATATCCTCATGATTATTGATTTTTGCTCTACGTGCTCTCATTTCCACAGCCCCAGCATACACAGCCTGAGATGCAAGCTTAGTTACTGCTACGTAATCTCTAAAAAATATGTAAGCATTTCATTTTTCAGCCCCCATCTAGAGCAGCTTATTATTTTAATTACATTATGAAAAAGCATCAAGGCAGAAAGAAACAGGTATCTTCCTTAGTGCTGCAATGAACGGCTTTGCCCAACATACCTTGGACACCCCACCATGTCTTGCAGCCCAGTTCCTCTGGAGTTAAGCAAACATCCACACACTATAGGAATGCAACAATTCATGCGCCCAGTGCCCACACATACTCTCGAGGCCCAGCACAAGGTCTCAGCTGCAGCATGCAGCATTGCTGACAGCCCCCTGGAATTTTGCTGACATTTTTGTATTTCATAACCTCAAAAATGGGGTGATATCTATTTGTCATTGCTGATATTGGCTGATTAAAATCTCTAAGAAATCCTAACTTATAAAATTAGAGGTGAATTTTATCACAATTTACAGTACTGAAGTAAATATATTCAAGTCTTGTTCCACAATGCCTGTACAAATAAAAGACAAGTCATTTTTCCCTTGACATTCCCTCAAGTTTCGAGGCTTAATGCCCAGCCTGATTTTTATGTCCAATTGCTTGCGAAGACAGAGCTGTTTGGTAATTTCCCATCAGTACAAGGTTATCAAGTTTATCTTTATTAAAAGACCAATATAAAAGTTAATGGTGTCTGTGGTCATAAAGACATGGGCAAGAAAGGGAGATGTGAAGAGAACTTCTTGCATGTCGTTGCCTTTATTGTGCAATAACAAGTAGTTCACAGTCCATATGTATACATGAAGTTGCAGTGCACCCAGCATTCCCTACAAATTTCAGTATTTCATAGTAATAATGTACCCATTTATTAACATACCCAGCTTTCCCCAATGCATGACATAAAAGAGAAATATTTTATGTAGTTCAACTTAGGTATTTCAGACAAAATTTCCTTCAGTCTTCAACCTCAATCTCGGAAACAGATGTATAGAGTAGTCCCACCGTACATGGACCATTTTGTATGTGTAGAGTTACAAAGCAGCTCTCCCATCTCACCTCCACTAAAGTATCTACTAAAGTAACTGATACATATTAACAACATCAGTTGGAGTTCAACTAAGAATCAGCAAAGACTACCATGTATGATACCAGAAGATAAAAATAACAAGCCAAATGTAAACATGCTTCTAAGCAAATGTAAGAACTTTAAGAAATAAAGTGGGGTAAGCTGGGTAGTGAAACTAGGGTACTGACCTAACAAAGATCAGAAATGTTGTAGAAAGTGACACCATGCCTGGGGAACACCAGTGATCCATGAGATGCTCAGGGACAGACAAAAAAGATGACACCGTTAAAGAAGTGGTGCTATATAACAGTTTATTGTCACATTAATCAAGTGAATTAACGATCAATAACATAAAATACTTATGAACTGAAATGTTGGTTATATGTTGGAAGAACACAGAATAAAAAAAAGGTAAAGGGAGACTTCTTCTGTCCCCACATAGATTTATTAAATGCTGTATCAAGATATGATACTGAGGATGTTTAGACACTACAAACAACTGTTGTGCCTTGAACACTTGGTTTTTGTCTTTCTTGACAGTTGTTATTGACCACAGTTGAACCAGGATACTGGATTAAATGAACCTTTAAACTGAGCCAGTTTATTATTTACTCACCCTCTCATGGCACAGCTGTTCTGAAAAAAAACCTGCAAATTCTTACTCGGAAAACTGGACTTTACACACACCAAAACACTCCATTGCAAAGGCAGTTGCCGAGAGTGATTTAAAGAAACAAGTACCAGCACAAACTTGCAAAAATCAAATTCTGTGGTTTAGACAGACAGATTTCTAGAATTCACACACTCTGCCTAGACAGGCTATATTATTGCTCTTCAACAAACAGGATTTTGATTGGTAATCCCTTTTCTTCTGTAGAACACCATGGTCTAAATTACAAACAGAAAAGCACAAATACAGCTAATGGAAAAAGTGACAACAGGATCCAGAGAACTATCCCTTTTAGAGTAGCCATTGCATTAGTCACGGTTCTAGTAACGTTCCGATTGTGCTATCTCCGCCACGCTACCACTACCGAACACCGCCAGCCAGCCTCCCACGCTCCTCCCATCCCTCCTGCTTCACCCTTTGCTGGCCTTGCTCATGTGCCCACTTCCACGGGCGGGCTCAGGAGCGGGCTCCCTGGCGGCCTGCGGCCCTCCCTCGGCAGAGCCCCGGCAGCCCAGCCCCGCCGCCTGCGCTGGGCCAGCGAGACCTCCGGGGCTGGCAGAACCCCACTGCCCTCAGCCCTGCCCCAGCCGACAGGGGCAGGCAGACCCCAGTTCTCCATCCACTTCGGGTGGAAGAGAGCGCAGCTTTGCCCGGCGCTCGGCTCACCGCCGAGCCTACCAGCCCCCGACCAGCCCTCCAGCCCGCCCGGGTGTATGCCTGATGGCGCCAGGCCTGCACCGCTTCCTGCCCAGCCCCCAGAGCCCACACCCAAGGGGTGCTGAACACCGAGGGCGAACGACACCTTTTTTTGAGGCCAAAGCCAAGCGCGAAGCGGCGGAGGCACTGCCTGACCCGGCCGTGCCCACCATGGCCGCCCGGCCCGCCGCCCGCACGCTCTCCCACTCACGTGACGGTGGTCGCTGCGCAGGCGCACAGAGAAAAGTGCCG